GAAACTTCACAGTATTGTGATGGTGGGGAAAATTCAAACGAAACAGTCAGTCAGTCAGTCATACAGTAAACTTTCCGGGGGGCGTGTACGATTTATGTTCGTAGTGATTTATTGTGCTTAGTCAGTACTTTGAAGGTTATTTAGGCAATTTCAGTTAACTTATTTACATATTCTGTTATCCTTTTACCAAGTTCACAAAAATTTCGAGCAATCGCTTTCGTTATTGTAATTCTTTGTAAATTTTAGAACATTCGCTTCTCATGTTGTGTAAAGGATCTTTACCCCGGAACACCCGATTTTTCTTTAGTAGCGCAAATGCGCATGCGCTATCAAGCCGTAGATCACGATGGCGTGACAATATGCTAGGAAGGAGTGACAGTGTTGTTTTCAGATGTATAAACATTTCAGACGTGAATATTGAGTAAATCTTTGAAAATCTACGCAATATATAAATTGATCTTATGCATTACGGCCGTTCAGTTAATAAGTGTCGATAATATTTAGGCGGTATATTCATTATACAGAGCTAGGAAGGAGCTAGACCGCCTAGACAGTGCATTTAAGACTCAAGTGTATAAACATTTCAGACGTAAATATTGAGCCGAAAATCTTTGAGATTCTAGGCATTCAATTGAGTGCTGATATTATTTTCACGGTATACTCATTATACAGGGGTACAGTATGTACGAAGAAGCGAGACAGTCTTGTTTTTCAAATATATAAACATTTCAGACATGAATATTGAGAAAATCTTTGAGATTCTACGCAATAATATGATATATAAATTGATGAGTATGGTTACCGGCGTTCAATTAAGTGCCCATCGATAGACGATATTATTTAGACCGTGTATTCATTATACATTGTTATTTGACTGTATAAGGTGCCACATCACAGAATAGTACATTCAGGCAAAGAGCGAAAAATTGCATCAGATCAATAAAGCATCAACAACTATTAAACAGAAGCGGGCGTTCGTACAGGCGTTTATGAAGAAAATATTGCGAGACGAAGGAAATCAGTTGAGTCAGAGCTCCTTATTTTAATAAGAAAGACGAGGAGATAGCCAATATGTTATCGCCAACGTGTTATCGCCAATCGCTTGGCTCACCGACAAGCTTTATGCAATGGAAGAAAAAAGCAAGGAGGTACATGTAACCAACGTGTCTAGCACAACGCCGTTGTCAACGGTGCAAATTCGTGTTCAGTGCAACGTTGACTCTACCAGATCTTGCGAGAATTAATCTGTAGTATTCTGTACACAGAACTGTATCAAAGCTTGTCAAAACTGCTTTTAAACACTGCTATAACTGTGAAACTATTGAAATCTAAAGTGACATTATTCAAAACATGCGAAAAGTTAAAAATAGACACAACGTGACACTGGGAAAAGTCAAAGGTCAATGCGGACTTGTTATTGTAAAACATGTCACAATTAGGTTAAAATGCGGAAGCGGATGGAGCGGACCACAGAACGGAAATGCGAAAAAATACGGAACGGATGAAGATAAAATGCTTCCTTTCAATGATGTAACGACGTAGTGCTTATTATTTATAACATATCGTATACATCTATTTCAATTATAAGTTTGCAGTAGCCTTGTGCGGATGCTTTTAGCGACAGCTGCAATTGAAATTTCGAATTGTCGCGTGTAGCATCACAATAAATAGATAAATTGTATCAGTTTCACAAAGCACGTTTCTGATGTGTTAGGCTTGTTTCAAACGTCACGCTACTCGTGTGTCGAGCGCATTAAAAGCAATATATAATGAGATGAAATGCCGTTGGTGATTGTTTATTTCGTAGTGTAAGACATCAGCTTTTCTAGGTTGTCAGCGACCCTATATAGTTCTTGCAGAATCTTTTTCAATTTGAAACTTCACACTATCCTTGGATCCCTTTTTTAACTTTTTTAACGATGAAAAAATAAGCAGAGAAACTACCGATATTCCAAGATAAATCCATTGCTGAAAACACGGAAAAACAATTCATGACGTGGCGACAAACATTTATGCCCGTGAACATGGACTCTATATTGCTATACTTATACCTTTCTCTTTTTACATCTGCAGACTGAAAACTAGAAGTTGAGACATCCAGCCAAGAAAAACTGCGAATTGACGTGAACATTTTATGAATATTTTTATTAGAAATTCTTTTATTGTCAAGGGTAAAGAATTTTTTTAACATCTTGTTATACTTTCTTATAATGGAAAGTGTCAGTACTTTTGTGTTATGGTTATGAGTAATGATGTTGTCAATTTATTTAACCTTACATTATTATTATAGGCCCTACTTTTATCCAGTCAAATAAAGTAATACAAGATTAGTCAATTTTAGGTTATACTTCCAAAGTGAAAATGTAATTAAGAAAGTTTCCCATTTGACCTGTTAATAGCAATACTTTAATAACGAATTGTGCATTGTATAGTTGTTTTCAGAACAGTAATTGGACCTCGTATTATATAGAGTTTCGGCATAAAAAAAGGCAATGCCGCATGCTGTGGTGCAGTGAGTTATCAAAAAGAATGAACTTCTTGCATAGTGTGAATGTCTATCATGAAATAAGCGCTTGTCTGCATGGTGGCAAAAAGGTCTACCATAATTTATATCCTCCCAAAAACCTAACAAAATATATCCTGTTGTTCCGGTTTCATTTCCCAAAAGAACTAAGGTAGGTAGGTCGGATAAATATTTTTGGAGTAGTTTTTTGCTTGACATTGGTCAGCAATGGCTATGAATGTGATCAGTTGGCACCGCCACAACACCTATTAAGCATTTCAAGAAGCAATAATTGTGACTGAACGGTCTGTAGGTAAGCAAACAACTGCAGTGAGTGAATTTAATACTGCAATCTAAAGTTTGTATAAATGGTTCAGGCAACCAAGATATTTTGTACATCACGAGCTATGTCTCAACATAGGCAATCCAAAAGACATTGTCTATGTCATTGTCTTTTGAATTGTCTATGGTCTCGAACCCAACCTCAATTTTACTTCGAAGGAAATGGCGTGCACGACGAATATAAACAACGAGCGATATTTGTGAGTGTTTGTGGTGGCAAGACGTACAAATTGATTCGGAACTTAACACCCACCCCC